AACTGTCTGAATTCTGCAGATGAAGCAACAGAAAAAATCCATGCAGATTATTCTTATTTGAAGTAACGACTCAAAGCTACATGAAGCCAAGAGCTTTTAATCATGTCTGAAGAGCAGCATAATTTCTTGCCTCAGAAAGTATCTCTGCTCTTGGTAACTATTTCTATCATACTCCAAGCTACAAGACAAATCTAACCCGATGACTTAATTACAAACTCACCAGTAAGACAACAGTTAAAGAACATGTATCAACACAAGACCTGTTTGAACAGCAGCATAAAAATGAATTTCACACAGCCTACAGYTCCTTTATGTGCTCAATTCTGCACWGACACATAGAGATGCCCCTCTGAAGTGGAAACCAAACAGCTGCACTCACAAAACACACAGAGGAGCCCCCCCAGCAGGGCATTCCAACACTCCTGAAGCACTTCTGTGTGGATTTGTGTTCATACACATGAGAAAACCTGCCCTACCAGCTGCAGACAGCAAATACTATAATTTTTCTGAAACTGAGATGTAATTCAGTAAATAGCAAACACTTTCTTGATTGCTCATRTGAACCACTTCTAATAACTAACTTTAAATGCAACGAATGCAGTGCTATTAGCTTAAGCAAAAACTAAACAAAAGGAACATCATTAGCAACAAAAAAAGTTACATACAACACCCTAAAAACTTGCTGAAACGTGATAGGACTTTTTAATAAAGGTTTTATATATTCAGTCAACAAATAAGTACAAGTTGTAAAAGGGATTATTAGCTCCCTACTTCTGAAAAAGCAAGTAAACAAACTTTAGTTCTGTTTTCACTGTTGTCTGTGGAAACTGTCCTTCAACAGTTTAAGTTTATTCAGGGAGGAAACAGCTCCTATTATGATCAGTTCAGAATTCATTCATCGAGATTCTGACCACTCCAAAAATATTGAAGATGTATTTTGGATATAGCATTTGTTGGTAACCAAGCTCCATTTCATGGTGCTTACAAGAAAGACCATAAGTGGAATAGCCTTACTGAAAGATGGCACACACTGAACACATTTKAAAGTGGATCAGATAAAGTGAAAAGATGGGCTCGCAACCCAAGCAAGCAGTTCAGGCTGGATATAAGGAAAAATCTCTTCCTCACAGGGATAGTCAAGAAGTAGCACTAACAGTTGCACAGTCTCTGTCCTGGAACAGCCTGGTCTGACCACACAGCTGACCTCATGCTGAGCTGGAGGTTGGACCGGACACATTCCCATGTTACTTCTAACTTGAACTGTTCTATGATCCTTGATTGCCAAAACTGCCAATCAATGGTAGTGTAGAAGGAGCTTGGTGCAAATGGCCAGTTTCTAATCCCCAGAAACTGAATAGAGCAGCAAGCTATGGCTAACAAGTGCCACAACACAGCAAGAAATTTAGGAGAGTGTATGATCCTAAATCTGTGCAAAATGAGCAGAGATTGTCAGAAAGTTAGGAACAAAGTTACATATGTGCCTGTATAGCYAAATAATGACATTTTTGGAGCTTGKTATTTTTTTATCCATGGACTCAAACATCAAGGTGTCCTATATCAGAAGAGATTATATTGAACTTGTTGCTCTAAAGAGAGATATGAAAATCCTGTTTCTTGTAATTTTAATTTATAGCACTTGAACAGCATCTGTAGTGAGGCATAAAAACTGTTTCACATGTATTTAATCAGTATGATTATACACATGTTGTCAAATGTCTCTTTTCTGGTCTTCACTCCATGCCATCCCTGTCTTCCTTTCCAGATTCTCTGAGTGTGTGCAAGATATGCTGAAGCAATGATTCAGCACRAGCTAAACCCTTTTGTCCCAGGGCATTGTGGATCCCACACACCAACCAAACCTGTTGGCTGTAAAATTCATCTGTATCACCCTCCACACCTGTCTGCAGCCATAGCAGCGTTCTATCCATGGCAACTTTGTGAATGTTGTGAACAAGTTCTCTGCTCTAAAYCTGCTTTGTAGAAATYACACTTTTTACAAGGATGTGTAACTCTAACAATCTGCAACAGACACAGTAACAGCTACAACTGATGAACATATTTACACAAACATATTCTGTCTTTAATTAATCTGCAATGACATATAGAAATACTGACTCCAAATCAACAGCATGCAAGAAATTTAGCTGGCAACCCTTTTCCCATAATTATCATTCTTAAAAATAGTGCCTTGAAAACACTTCCACTTCAAAAAACCTCAGTAGGGAGTGCTATGCTAACAGGCTTGTTCGTAACAGCAAAGTTCAAAGTCMCATCACATTTGTGACATCTCAGCCACTTCTCACCTCTCACAAAGAGGATGGAAGGTTCTTTGCATGTTCCACTTTCACATCTGTCAGGATAAACATACTTACGGTTCTCACTCCTTCAAAATAATATCCAGCTCAATTTTAAGCTATTAAGATGTCCCTTTGAACTGTCTGACAGTTGGCAAATATAAAAATTCCTTTTGGGGAGCTTTTAAAGTTACAGGGAGCAATGGGTAATAAAAACCTAAACCTAATGAGCTTTATTTCAAAAACAAAGACAGTAGAATTGAGCAGTCATCGATCAAGAGGAATCCAGCTTTTTCGATAAAGTACATTTTTAATTTGTCCTCATATAGAAAATAAAACCAGAGGATTCAAGGTAGGCATTATGAGTATATAAAGCACTAAATTACATCTGACTTCACATGTCAGTGATGCCCATGTGATCAATAATCAGGAAGCATAGAACAGATCATGACTAATGAGTCACACTGGACAACTTAAAGAGGAGAGGAAGCAAACTTCATTGAATTTAKAACTCCTCCAAATCAGCCTTTTACAGGACACTTAAAGATTCCTACCAGAATTCAAAATGCCTGCTGTTGKCTATAACTTATTTAAAAACCACACACATGCATATTTTGGTGGAAGAATCAAGCCTTTGATGCAATTTTTCTTCTGCATGAAGTCATTTCATACTCCTTAAGCATGGAGTAAGGAGAGCTTTTTGCATAGACCAAATTTTCTTATTGTAGGAAACGAGAAGAGCTGAGGCAGAAGGTTACAATTGATTTCCTCCAGTTTGAAGAGCTAATTRCTCTGCAAGCTTCAGTACTCCCAGTTGTACTTTGCAATATAAATTAAAATTGGATCCATATTTGATACAGAATCTGTGAAAAGGACATAACATTTGCAACTGATCAATTATTTACAGTGCATTTTCAGCTGTGAACAATGTTGAAGTGTCAAGCTACATAGAAATTCAAAGGTTGTTTAACTAGTCATARTGATATTATTTCCTGTTTCAAAGAAAACCAAACTTGCCATTGACACTAATATGAAAAAAAAAAAAATCAATAGATTTTAGTAAGGAAATTCAATTCTTTTTTTTGTTGTTAATTAGTTTGGTTAAGACTTTATTTCTATTTTTTTACTGGTTGTTAGATAAACTCAGCTTGTTAGTTTATATGGGAGAATCACTTAATTTTGTAATGCACTTGTAAGACATTATTCAGAAATTGAAGAAAAGGAAAACTGATTAGATTTTACAAGATCCCTACCAGTTAAAACTATCCTATATGAGGATGCAATTCCAAAATGTTCCAAAAAAAAACACATACAATCAAAGCAACAGAGAA